TTCCCGGGTATAACGGGTATAACGAGAAAAGCGTGAGTATACTTTACAAACTATCTTATACGATTAATATAAAGATTTAGCGCAAATTTATTAGTTTTGTATATTATTCCTCTTTTTCTTAGTCTTACTTCGTACAGAGTACGAAGTAAGACACCGAATTCGAAATCTTATTTCTCAATTAATATGTGTATAAAATGAACTCATCGTTGTCAGTGTTTTGTGACTGGATAATGCTTCTCGATTAATCGAGAAAATCGGTAGTTTTTTCTCAATTGATCTATACTTTTCATTGATTGTTTTTCTCTTCGAGTAATCGGTGGTTGACTTTTTCCTAACATCGACGTGACAGAATAAAAATAAGGAATCTGTATTATAGAAACTGAAGTTCTCGTACTATAAATACTAAGCTGCATGCAATTTTAACAAAAACAATATTACGCAAATGCAATTTATGCTAATGTGTATAATATCCCTAGTACCACAGTGCATAGACTAAACATTGGCTAAATATTGGCCCAATATTGGTTATATTAAATATGCATGGCCGATATTGTCCAATGTAAAGCCAATATTGGTCATAGAACAAATATGAATGTTATATAATATTAGATTTATATTAGAAGTGCATTGGCCAATATTTAACAATGTAATAAAAATATTTATCTAATATTGATACAATATTAAACAATATTGCTAAATAGACATATTGGTTAAATAAGGGAAGGCGTCCATCTTACAATGTTGGACCAATATTGGGAATACTAGATTTACATTATTTCTCAATATTGCGCCAATATATTATGCTACTAGGGATGCATGTATATGAACACATTAGTAATATACATATGTATAGAAACAACAAAAACCTTTTATTTACAATTAATAAATATTATATAATTTTATAAAATAATATTATATAATATTATATAAATATTATAATAAAAATTATAATATTTACAGCGATGTTTATTATATTACTGGTCAATGCGTATATATTTTAATTTAAAAAAATGGATAATGTGTATTTAACGAAAGAAACTTATTTAATGTAATTAAGAAACATAATATTATTTTCAGATTAAAAATACAAATAAAAGAGAAGAATTAAACAGCAGGACTAAACGAGACATACGAGTAAGAGAGATCGCAATAATAATAAATTATTAAAAATAACAACAGTTGAGCAGTTCTCTGCATTATCGACATTATTCCCTCGCAATCACGCAACATAGACGCGTCCACGCCAATTGTCGCTATCGCGAGTTCTACGCGCGAGATACCAACCTTCGTGATTTGTTTGCTCCCCGACTGTGGACGAGCCAATGCGCGGCCGCGAGCCCCGCGAGCCGACGAGCCACCATAGACATAATATATCTAGACCGAGCGTTTGCCTTTACAGAGAGAAGCCTGAGAGCGGCCACGCCGCCGTAGGGTTTACTTGGGACCGATTTTCGCCACCAAAAGTGGATGTAAGAACTACGGAGACACATCTACTTATCGACACGGTCGATAAACATTACTTTTTGGTGCGTGTCCGTGCTAACATCCACTTTCCAACACTGTCAATAAATCGCTTTTTGGCGTATGTCTATACTATATCCACAATTTATGGATGTTATGCCCATTCTACACCTAGGGATGATCCTACTTTTACCACATCCGATACCCCTTCTATACCTAAAGCTAATCCTACTTGCAGCTTATCCGAGGGAGTAGTATAAAGTGTAAAAGGGTACACTGTAGTTGTACTTTGGTACGATTGGAAACCAACCAAAGTATCGGATGAGCCACAAGTAGGATCATTCCTAGGTGTAGAATGGGCATTTTGCACCTTTCTAACCTAAAAACTGTCAGTTCACGG